TTTATATTTACCATTTATTTAATTTACTGATTTTTAAATATATCAACAAACCTAAAGATTTCAATAACTGACCGTTTAAATATTTTACTGATCATTCATTCAATTTACTGATCATTCATTTATTTTACTGACCATTTCATTTATTCTACTGACCACTTAAATGGTAGCCAAAATGAAACTTCCATCCGATGATGATTTCTTTCACAGAATAAATTCGACTTTTTATTTATGATTATGTGCATTATTATATAGAAATTATTTTAAAAAACTGTTAGCGCAATCCCTGCTGGATTAAAATATGAACCACGATAAAGCTGCTGTGACTAATCCGAAGAATATAGCTTTATTCCATCTATCTTCCACCCCGCTCTTCTTCATCTTTCATTTCATTCTCTGAAAGTGCGGGTGTCGATGTAGGCTTGGGGTGTGGGAGTGGGTCAGTATCTATATCAGGTACCCATAACCAGACCCACCCACACTCACGCCCACATCCACCCTCCTAACTGTAATTTGTTTTCGCTTGCTCATCGTTTCTGAAAGGTTTTTTAGTCATATTTTTAAATAGTAAAAGATATTTTTTAAATATGTTTTTTGAACAAAATTAAAAAAAAAAACTTTTTTAGATTCTTTCAAAAAATTTTAGAAAATTTTTGTGAGCATTTTGGATATTTTTTAAAAATTTTTAAAAATATTTTCTTAGACAGCTTTAAGAACTTTTTGCGACTTGTTCTTGCCAGTAATTTTCTTTTTTTCCAAGCACTTTTGTTTTTTCAGCTTTGTGATTCTCTATAACTTATAAATATTTCTAATGCAGAATTAAAGTATTAATATAATGCAAATCTATGATATCCAGCCTTTTGAAGTAACCGCCTTATTGTTCTGGCGTAACTGGGTCTCAGCTCGATCGTAATCGAATACATAGGTATGTCCCTTTTTATAAAGCACTTTTTATCTTGAGCAAATAACATGCATACATATAGATCTTCGCTTTATGCTTATTGAGTGCGGATAAGAGTGGAACTGTGTGGCTTGATGTTAGTCGTGGCTAACAGACGATGCAAACAGACCAACACTGCACCGACGTTGAATACCATACACTTAACTTCTATATAGATACCCTTGTCCAAAGACAGTTATATTTCTTAGCTTGAATTTGTATTTTAGCCTTTTTTTTACAGCATAGTCTCGTCTCTAAAGATACTCCAGGACTTTTCAACATTTTTCTTTGAAATTCTTTAGAGAAAAGCAGTGTTTTTCCTTTCTTCTTAGCCTCAATATCAGCACATTCTCATCAAATCTCTTAATATCAAAGAATGGTGAGCTACAATTTAGAGGGATGAAAAATCAAATTAGTTGCAGTCACTGAAAATGGTAGAAGAGATCAATCAAGTCATATTACATTGATACGTCGGGTGTAGGAGCCCTTTATCTTGCAACTCTAGTAAATAGACTGTAAAAGTCAGATTCGGAATCAACTTGACTGGCAGAGACATGGTAAATTCGTCCTGATGATATAGTTTATTTAGTAGAGAAAGGAGTTTGACAAAGGACAATCATGAACATTAGATTGAGTTTATGCAATATTAAACTTTTTTACTCGAAAATTGCCTTTATCGACGACATAAAGGTTGCCATGTTGATCAAAAGATAGAGCTTCGGGTTCACTTAATTGATTCGAAGATGCTTGGCAAGCGTTATCGCCAATAATGACACATCCCTGCGTGTCGTCTTTCGACCAACGCATAATTCGATTATTACACTTATCAGCCACAAAGACAGTGCCCATTTGGTCGACAACAACTCCTAGAGGACGCGACAATTGTGTAAGATTGTTTCCTTGTTCTTCAGCACCTGCTACGATAATACCTTGTTTTGCTCCTTCATCCCATTTCGTCACGCGATTATTATCCCATTCAGATACATATACTGAATGATTTCGATCGACGAATATGTATCCTGGCGAAGAGAGCTGATCGAGATCTGCTCCTTTTCCATTTCCACCTGCAATGACCGTTCCTTTAGTGTCACCAATTTCATATTTTCTCACTTCATGTCTGCCATGGTCCGCAACGTAAAGAGCTCCACTTTCGTCCATGGTCACACCAATACAATCAATATCTGAAATGATTGTTTCTCCAACAGCCTCATGTCGACGAGGCCACCGAACTACTCGTCTGTTTCCTCTGTCGGAAATGATTAGACAATCTTTCTCTTTATCGATAATAACATCATTGGGAAAATATAACTGATGAGCTCCAGATCCCTGTCTGTTTCCTCCAGCAACCATTTTACCTTTCGCTGCACCATATTTCCATTCCATAATACGATGATTCGCACAATCAGCAACATAGATTGTTTGATGATCGTCGACAAATAAACCGTATGGATGACTCAATTGATTGGATCCTCTGCCTTTTCCATTTCCCCCAGCAACAGTAAGGCCTCTGTCTGTCCATTTCGTATTCGAAAGAATGTCAACTGAACATCCGCGTAGCGGTACTAAATTGAAACAGAAAACTATATTAAAGAAAATTCACTTTTAGACAAAGCTGAACATAACTAAATCAGATGCAAAAAATCAAGGTTTCAAGGATTCAGATTTTATAAAATTAATTAATTAGATTTGAATAGCGTTTATTATTTCATTTAGGTTTTCTCATTATGGGGACAAAGGAATAGTGAATCATCAGTTTGATTCGAATATATTTTACAGTTTTATTCATTCATATATTTTCTTAAATGAGATATTATAACCTTGAACTATGAATAAAAATGTAGTCGTTAGTGAATGCGCTACAAGCAGACGCATAAAAAATTGTTTGTTTAGAAAAATGGAATAAATTTTCTCGAATGTATATCTACTCATAATGTAAGACCATATTGAATGATTGCAAACGCAGATAGCTTCGAACAGTGTGATATCTTTGTAGATATTCTAGTCTGAATTAGTAGAATTGAGAATGACGTATGTCGTTTAACGAAATTGCTTAAAACCGTTTTATGCAAAGAGCGAAAATGAGAACTATTGAATTAAAAAAATTCTTGCACCAGTTTTGCGTTGAATTAGAAACGAATTTAGTCAGGGACAAATGAGTATGACGTCACAGAAGTAAACCTCGATTTCATAATAATTAATTCATTCATTCATTTTCCCAACAAGGAAAATTTATTTGAAGAACATTTGTGAGCGATAAAAGTTTGCACTTTTTCATAATCGTTTTTTTACTTTAGAAAGCTGATTTTCTTTCAGTAAAATGACTTTGCTTTATCATTTCCTCAAAAGAATAAAAGACTTGTTTGTTGTAAAATGGTTTACTACAAGAATTATTACTATTTTTAATAGTTTACAGCTATTTTTCCGCCTTTAGACAAGAAAAAATCCATAAAATGAGATGAGAATCAAATATGATCGATTATTAAGACAAATACAACTCATCGTTGTCTTTTTCAAATTAAATAGAGTCAATTTCCCTAATAACGACGGGAAAATTTTCACATCTCTTGTTTGATTCCGTTCTCAGTCATTTTACATTCGACTGAAAATATTTTTATATTTGGATAATCCTTGGAGTCTCCTCTTTCAAATGGTATGATCACGGCCTCTCTACATCGTACTGCGGTGGAGATATCAGTGGTCTACGATCGGGAACTGCATCCGTCGTTATTTAGTGCAGTTTCCTTAATTCCGACGGCAAGCCAAATTTTTTCCCAAATAACGACGTTCTAAGAAAATTCAAGCAAAAATGTATCTTTTTTTGGAAAAAACGTTTTTTCACATTTTCTACTTGGAAAACAAGGGAGGGTCTCGCTGGCAATTTTGTAGAGCAAGTCGAGTTCTACCTATATCTAAAGGTTCATGAAGATTCAATGTTCTCATCACGAGATACATAGCTTGAAATGAAGACAACTAAGATCGATCAAAAAAAAGTATCCTTAATAACGACGGCCAGCTATTTTTTTTCCCTAATTACGACGCATCCATGAAAATTTGTGTATGACTGTACATAAAACTGAAACGAATATTCACTTTATTAGTCCGATGGATTCTGATCATTTTCCACAACTTTGTTTTAGATTTCATGACAAGTCAATTTTTCGAGGCTGGGGTCCCCCTCAGGTATTCAAAAAACTTTTTTTTTCTTCGTTTAATTTGTGGTATTTAAAATTCGATAGATCTCTGTGTGCTGATTATGAATATTGTATTATTTTTCAAAATTCGTCGAGTAATAAGAAAAATCTTGAGCCTTTAAGATAGACCTAAAAACCAGTTTTTGGCCAATACGGTCATTAATATCCGTCTAAAACTCTTTGAGAATAGACTCATCCGACGCAGAATCTTTTTCTCTATCAGAATATATGAAAAGCTTTTGAACAAAATAATGTTTTTCCATCGATAATTAACGAATACCTGGCCCAACGGGTCCCTATGCCTACTAACAGTGATTTTTCGACCCTGTGAAAATACAGTTTGCTCGGATAAATCATCGAGATTTTTTCACCATCAAACATAATCCAATGAGCTCTTTCTAATAAAACTATTTTCGGCTTAAAATTCTGCAGTAAAAAAAGGTCGAAAA